CATCAACGGCTGCAGGCGATGGAAGGAAAACCCATGGACATCACGTTCATCCCGGGGGCCAAACCCTCAGCTGTCCACACCCCAATCCCGGTCCCACACCATTGGAAGAAAAGAGTCAAGGAGGATCTCGACCGAGACGTGGCATTGGGCATCATAGAACCTGTACCAGTGGGTACACCTACAACATGGTGCTCTAGAATGGTGGTTGCACCGAAAAAGGACGGGTCACCGAGGCGTACGGTGGACCTACAGAAGCTCAACACCGCTACCCTACGAGAAACCCATCATACACCGTCTCCTTTCAATCAGGCATCGCTGGTGCCTGCGAAAACTAGAAAAACCGTTTTGGATGCATGGAATGGCTATCATAGCCTAACCCTCTCTCCATCGGCAAGAGATGCAACTACCTTCATCACGGAATGGGGTAGATACCGTTATCTTCGGGCACCACAAGGATTCCAAGCGTCAGGAGACGCATATACACGCAGGTTCGACAATATTACTGTAGATATGACCAGGAAAACAAGATGTATTGACGATACGATACTATGGGACAACTCTATTGAATCATCATTTTGGCATACTATAGAGTACATAAATAACTGCAGCAAAAATGGTATCGTATTCAACCCCAGAAATTTCACTTCGCGGAAAAAAGAGGTGGAATTTGCCGGGTTCTTGATAACAGAAGACGGGATAAAACCCACCAGAAAAATGACTGAAACAATACGGAATTTCCCGACACCAAAAAAATATAACTGACATAAGATCCTGGTTTGGAATGGTAAACCAGGTAGCCTACGCTTTTTCTCAGGCCGAGGTAATGGCCCCGTTCCGGGAGCTGCTAAAGACAAAAATCGGAAGTTCTACTGGGACAGCACACTCGATCGAATCTTCGAAGAGTCGAAAAGAAGGATCACAGAAGAAATCGAGAACGGTGTAAGAACCTTCGAAGTGAATAGGCCAAATTGTTTGTCGACGGACTTCAGCAAAACAGGCTTAGGATATTTTCTTTTCCAGAAGCACTGCAACTGTGCCACCGAAGCTGGACCGAAGTGTGGTGAGGACCACTGGAAGTTAATCCTGCCCGGCTCCCGATTCACTAATGACGCAGAGTCCCGATATGCACCAGTGGAAGGAGAAGCATTGGCATTAGTCTACGGACTGGAAGCATGCCGGATGTTCGTTTTGGGGTGCCCAGAGCTGTTAGTCACCGTGGACCATAAGCCCCTGGTGAAGATCTTCTCGGACAAAGCTCTGGAGGACATAAAGAACCCAAGACTGTTTAACTTCAAAGAACGGTCCTTGATGTACAAATTTCGAATAAAGCATCTCCCTGGCAAACTCAATGCGGCACCAGACTGTACATCCAGATGCCCAGTGGCGTTAAGCCAGGAGGAAGCAAACGAAAAGGACATCGCACAAACTATGGATAGCGCCATAAGAGCGTCATTTAACTCCACCTGTGAGCAGGACCCTAAATTAAGAGCAATAACATGGGACAGGATTGTGGCTGCAGCTGCTACTGACGAGGAATGCCGTTCCCTCGCCGAATTCATACAAAATGGCTTCCCTAGATCTCGGCACGAACTGCCGGAGACAATTCGCCGGTTTTGGCATATGAAAGAGGAGTTATATTGCTTGGAAGGGGTGACGATAATGGAAAATAAAATCCTCATACCCAGAAAGCTACGTGCGGAGGTACTGGAATCGCTCCATTCAGCGCATCAGGGCGTCAATGGAATGTTGGCAAACGCTAGACAGCGGCTGTTTTGGCCAGGACTGGACGCGAGCATTCGTCAAACCCGGGCCCAGTGCAAAGTATGCAACGTAATAGCTCCATCACAACCCAAGGAACCCCTAATGCCGCCCTCGAACCCCGAGTTCCCATTTCAGAAGACTGTGACGGACTTCTTCGATTTACGAGGGAAGAACTATCTAGTATATGCAGATAGATACACCGGATGGGTAGAAGTCACTCTGATGTCGTCCGGGAATGCCAAGGCCCATGTGACGCCCTACGAAACTGGTTCTGCACGTATGGCGTACCGGAGGAACTTTCAACCGATGGCGGACCACCGTTTGACTCCAGTGAATTTAACCGGTTCCTAGATAATTGGGGCATAAGGAAACGAACATCATCGGCATATTACCCTCAAAGCAACGGAGAGCAGAACTGGCAGTTAAAACGGCTAAAAGGATACTTGTTGATAGCACGGACAGTTGCGGTCGCCTATGCCATGACCAGGCAGCTAGGTCCCTACTGACTCATCGCAACACCCCGGTACGAGACCTACATATGTCTCCAGCGATGATGCTCTACGGTCGTGTGATAAAGGACCATCTCCCAGCGCTCCAGGACCGATATCGAATCCACAAACGCTGGAGAGAAATCAGTCATTATAGGGAAACAGCGATGGCAAAAAAAGACACTTAAGGAATGAAAGAGGATACAATCTAAAAAGTCACCCACTTCAGGAACTGAAAATCGGGGAAACGGTGCAGATACAGAACCAAGTTGGTCCATACCCGCGCCGATGGGCAAAGACAGGAAGGGTGGTGGAAACACTGGGTAACCGGCAGTATAATGTACGCATGGATGGGAGTAACCGGGTAACCCGTCGCAATCGCAGATTCCTCCGAAAATAAACCCAGTAGTAGATACTCCTTGCCACTCGATACCTGAGGTACCCCTAGGAATGTTGGATACCATAGACAACCCAACAGGGCCCGAAATACCGGGAGAATGGTCCACCACTGATATGGATCAAAACCAGCCCGAAACATCCGACACTCTACCAGAACCGATGGAGGTAGATGACACAGCATCCCTGGAATGATGGAGGTTGAGGAAGACCAACCGGTGCGTCGTAGCAGAAGGGTGACGCGACCACCCAGGAACCTATCCCCACAGACGTCGGGCACGTCGCACGACTACTCCAGAGCTTCAAAACATTGGACCACAACGCGAGTATCTTGTGGCCCCGGAAGGGAGGGGCGTGTAGAGGTGGAATCGAACCTAAGAC